AGTCGGTTACGACGACGAACTGCAGTCAGGTCGAGACCCCGATGAGCTTAGGTCCGGAACGATACTCTCACGAAGTTCCTTGCAGGCCTGGGGGAAAATGGCAGGGAAAGAGACTGACAGTGAGAGTAACAGTATGGTTTGTAGTGAGGAAGATGAGACAGGGATAAATGAGTGGGAAAATGTAGGAAAGGGAAAGAATGGGAAAAGTCGGAAAAGAAAGAAAAAAGAATCGGACAGTGAAGGAAGTGAAGAAAGAGAAAAAAGAATGAGAGATAAGGTTAAAAGAGAAGGTATCATATGCTGATGCAGTTAAATTGGCTGGAAAGGAAAAACAGAATAAGGAGGGAAGAGGGAATATAAAGCAAGGAAAAGTAAATGAGCAGCAAGATAAGAAGAATGCACGGAAAGAGAATAAGAAACTGGTCACATTCATTGCAGGAGTAATAAATGCAACATTTGAACTAAAATCAAAAACAGAAAGGATTCAGGTGATAACAGATAAGGTTAAAAGAGAAGGTATCATATGCTGATGCAGTTAAATTGGCTGGAAAGGAAAAACAGAATAAGGAGGGAAGAGGGAATATAAAGCAAGGAAAAGTAAATGAGCAGCAAGATAAGAAGAATGCATGGAAAGAGAAGAAGAAACTGGTCACATTCATTGCAGGAGTAATAAATGCAACATTTGAAATAAAATCAAAAACAGAAAGGATTTAGGTGATTGTGAAAGCAGCAGAACATCATTTGGATATGACTGAAGTGGGAGGAAATAAATGATGAACTGAGGATGCAAGCAAGTCAAGAGAATTCATGTGCTGGGTGATAATATTAATAATGTTAATTTTGCAATGGAATGCAAGAAGTATATTGGCTAACGGACAAGACTTTAAGCAATTTGTTGCTAGGAGAGAAGTACCTGAGGTTTTATGTGTACAAGAGTCTTGGTTAAAAACTTAATTCGATTTTGTCTTATATGATTATGCGGCAGTACGACATGATAGAAGAGAGAAGGTAATTCGATTTTGTCTTATATGATTATGCGGCAGTACAACATGATAGAAGAGAGAAGGGAGGAGGAGGATGTGCAACATTTATAAAACAGGGTGTATCATACCAAGTATTAGGTATAGGAAATGAACAAGAATATGTGGTAATAAAAGTGTGGGCTGGAAAGAAGGAGTTGGTGATAGTAAATTATTATAATCCATGTCAAAGACTAGAGGTAAGGTAACTTGATGAGATAGAGGGACAAGATTGTAGAAACATGGTATGGTGTGGGGATTGGGGAAAATTTCAGGAGGAAAGTAATAGATATCTAAGTCAAACTAATTTTGAAATGTTGAAACATTAGATTACAAAATAAAGCAAGGTATAATATTAGCAGCAACAGAGGCTATCCCAAAGTATAAAAAATAAAAGGAAAGTAATGCCGTGGTGGGATGATAAATGTAAGGAAGTAATTAAAAATAGGAATAAAGCATTCAAGTTAGTTAAAAGGACACATAATTTTCAACATACGGTTCAGTATAAACAAGCCCAGGCAGAAGTTAGGAGGGCAGTAAGACAGGCAAAAAGGAAATTCTGGAGAATATATTGTGATTCAATTGGAAACACAACTCCAATAGAAGAAATATGGTGTATGATTAAAAAGATGGGGGGTGATAGAAGGGATTGGAGTTATCCAGTTATGATAGAAGGAAATGAAACTGCAGTAACTAATACAGAAAAGGTATATATGTTGGCAAAAACTGTTGTTCAAATAAATAGTTCTAATAATTTGTCAGAGGAGGGGAAAAGAGGTAGAGAAAGAACAAAGGAAGAGAATAGGGGTGCATTAGGCAGGAAAAATAATGGAGATGGAGGACAAGATGTCCCGTTTAACATGGGAGAACTGCAAAGGGCATTGAATAGGACAGGGAAAACTGCGCCAGGGAAAGACAAAGTATGTTACAGTACGCTAAAACATTTAAGTCTAGAAAGTCAGGAGAAACTACTGATGTTGTATAACAGAGTGTGGGAGGAGGGAAGGTTACCAAAAAGTTGGAAAGAGGCAGTAATTATTCCAATAAGAAAGCCTGGCAAAGATCCGGGTTTTATTGGTTTTGTCTCGTCTAGTGATGTCCGGATCGCGAACGAATCGTTCTATTTAACCGGATCTTCTTCGTGAACCGGTTGAACCACATACATGTGGGTGCCAGCTCATGTGGGCATCCAGGGAAATGAGAAAGTAGACAGACTGGCAAAAGAAGCAACAAAAAAAAGAACATGTTGACGTCAAAATTAAATTATCAAAAACAGAAGGGAAGAGTTTAGTGTGGAAAAAGATCATGCAAAAATGGCAGCAGCAGTGGGATAATGATATCAAAGGGAGACATCTGTACATGATACAAAACATGATAGGTATGGAAAGTAAGAAGAGAAATAAAAGGAAGAAACAAACCAAGAAAGGCAAGAGTTCAAGAATCAGCTACGGGAAATAGGTATAGTATAGAGTATAATGTTAAAATTATAGTAACATATGGAAATAATGACCAAGGACGGAGATATTTGTTTAATTTTCTAAGGAGGACTGGACTGGAAGGACGAATTTAATTAAGATATAGTAAGTTAAAGCGAGTAAGCAGATGGCAGTAATGCAACACTATGGATGCCAACTGCCATAAAACTCCAACGAAGAAGAAGAAGAAGAAAAAAAATTGTGCTTGAACATGCAGCAGCCAGAAATACAGCTTGGGTGAACCCGAAATAAAATTAACAATCAAATAAAATAAAATATGAATAGAGACGGGACTATCATCCATGTATGTACATAAACAGTTGGTGGCGGTATGTGCCTACGGTGCGGAATACGCCAAAAACACAAACACAAAACCCTTCGTATACTGTGGATACCTGTTTGATATATCAGTTTGATTATTTTCTGTTTTATTTTCCCCTTTTGTTGTTTCTTTGGTACTTTGGATTTTTGTGTGCACTTGTATATATTCTTCATTGTGGACAATCTTTCTGGCACTGTAAATAAATTCCACCTTGCACGAAAGTGCTTCTGCGAGTAAGCCATCGTTTTTACATTCTCACATTTTTTCCCCGAAGGCGAGCTGGTGGGCTCGTCTTCATCACAAGCATAATGCATATAAATCTCACAAGTAAACATTTGACAATCTCACAAATAAATATGATCTTTTGAAATTCAAACAGAAAAAATATGGGTAAAATATCTTTTTTTCTGACAAGTTTTAAGATTTTTACCCAGTTAAGGCTTCAAGTCGGCATGGAATGAAAATTCAATTCTATTTTCTAAATTTTTATTTTATATAATTCTGAACAATAAACGTTTTACTTTTTTTTTTAACTTGCATTTTTTTTAACTACCATAATTTAACTTTACAAGCAACATTATATAAAAAACAGGCATTACAGAGCAAGAAAGCCTTTTACAAAAGAGGCCATTCAGAAATATAAACCATACACAATTGTGGATATTTGGCATTTATGAGTAAAGAATTTGATATTCAGAACTGTAAACTTTACAAAATGATGGACGCTCGGCATTTACAAATAAAGTTCCCATTACAATAAAAAAATAGCATTCAAAAATAAATGTTGTTATTAAAATCACTATTACTATATCTAAGCACATACAATAACAGTTTGGTGCCCTCTGGTGGTGATTGTTACTTGTTGTAATCATAGGAACTGATGTGCAGTTTCCTTCCGCTCCACTAGGCGGCAGAAGCGGCTTCACTTTCAGATAATTGACAACATGAAAACACATTTAGACAAGTTTCAGTACATATATTGCAGATTACAACTCTGTGACAGACTCTTAATATACAAAACAGCACATATTCCCATAAAAAAATATTTATTGCCTCTATGATGAATCTGCCAAATGACTAAATGTAAATGTTTACAGTATCACTTACTATACAGGCCTAAGTATATGGCTGTAGAAGTGAGCAGCTCTATTGCTGACTTTACAGACACAGACACCTTACATACAGACAGCAGTGTTTTGCTGAAATCTCTTCTGCTTTCAGCTTCTGTCAGTGTCTTGGGCAAGAAAATGTTCCTTTTTTGAAGTAAACTGTTAAACTCAATTCAGAACATGAGAAATATTACCGTAACACAATGTTGATATATAATATCTCAAATAAGAAATGTAAAAGTCGAAAAGAACATTTTAATTCATATTTCCTGCATATAGTGTTCTTGGATTGCGTTTTTGTTGTGATTCAACATGTATTCCTGAATATGGAGAATTATTATCAACATGAACATTGAACACTGGATCTCACAAGATTTGTTTCAAGCAGATATAAAGAAATGTGTTGAATATTCAGTAAGCTTCATACTGATTAGCATAGATTTCTCAGCCTGGCTACTGCTACTGAGTTCTGACTAAAGGAGAAGTGGTGAATCTCTAATATGAGCTAAATTGTGTCGTTTTCACACACACTTCTCCCTCCGTTCAGTGTAGAAGCATCAGCTTGAGCTCTGAGAGGATTTCTGTCGTCTTTAACTCTATTCTCTGGTAAGTCATTTACACACAACACAGTCAAACTTACACTTACTCCTGTAGTTTAGAGATTCTGAAACATTAAGGTTTGAAACATGTTCAAGATAAGCATGTCCTGTTTTTTTTAAATCTTTTGTGTTGTTCTGTATTCTCATGTAAAAATCTAGAAATAAAAAAATCTAAAACTTTAATCTAGAAATAATGAGTTTATACCAACAAAAGAGCTATAAATTCATACACAAATTTTAATTTTTTTCATTCTATCAATCAACAATTACCCTCACACACCTGTAGGTGATCGATAGGTGCGTAGGATAAACAATCAAAAACAGGTCCAACATTTCTGCTTTTTTAATTCTATAAAATGTCTTCATTTGTTTGTCTATTCTGCTGTAAGGTGGCCTGTATGAAAATGATGGAAGTATTGGTGAAGTTCCTCCTCACTGGATCTCTGATACAAGGTCTCATTCTTATAGATTATTCCTCTATTCTATTTAACAAGACAAATTATTATTATGAAAGCACTTTCATGTGACCTTTATGAGATAAAGAGCAATAAGTGCTGCAGAAGTTTGTTCTGCTTGTATCCTCTGTATGATTACTTCCTTCTATCTGTTTGTCTTTGTTTTAGGTGTTTTGTGTGGTTACAATATCAATCTGCCGAAGAAAGTAGAAGCTCTGAAAGGATCCTGTGTTTTCATCCCCTGCACATTTGATATTAATCAACAACTTAAAAATTACCTCACTGACAGTGCAAAGAGAATGTGGTTTAAAGACGGAAGAAGTACAGCTGTGTTTGACTCCAGCAGGCCCAACAATGGACTGTTAAAAGGAGAAATATTTGGCACCGCTACAGAGAAAAACTGCACCACACGCTTCGATAATGTTGATCAGAGTCATGATGGCTCATATTACTTCAGACTTGAAGCCAATGGTGTATTGAAATATAACTACAAAGAGCCTACACACTCCCAAATTCAAATTACCGTCTTAGGTGAGTGTCATATTGTTCATGCTGCTTCTATAGTGTGACTGGACATGAAAAAGAAATCTACTACTGTACAATATATACCTTCATTACTGGATATGACAACCTACATTATCTTGTAATATCTCTATGTGTGTTTCAGGATCTCCCCTCAAACCCACACTGAGCATCTTTCCGGATCAGCAGGAGACGACTGAGGGAAGTTCAGTGAGTCTGCGCTGCTCTACTAAGATCTTCTGTCCGTCTCGTCCACCATCTCTCACATGGAGCTCATCTCTCATCGAGAGCGTCACAGGACAGCAGTATCAGAGCCAAACTGAGCTCATCTCTGATCTGAACTTCACTGTTTCTCACCGTCATCACAGAGTCACTTTCACCTGCACTGCAACACACCAGCTACAGCAGCAGAGCACAACACAAGAGTCCCGTCTGCTACGCGTTCAGTGTAAGACAGGAATTATATCAAACTGTGCTGAATGATCATCTATAGTTAGTGCTGTAAATCATAAAGTAATCGTCTGAATGGTTTTCTCCTCCACTAGATGCTCCTAAAAACACATCAGTGAGGATAAATCCAGCTGGTTTAGTTCTGGAGGGCCGTTCAGTGACTCTGAGCTGCAGCAGTGATGCAAACCCAGCGGTGAACTACACCTGGTACAGAGACACTGAAAGACCTCTGAATCCAGTTCAGACTGGATCAAACCTGACCATCAACAACACCGGCCCGACACACAGTGGACGATACTACTGTACAGCTGAAAACAAACACGGCACACAGAACTCATCAGTGCTTCTGGACGTCCAGTGTGAGTATTACGAGTCTCTACTCATACAAATATTCCAAATACTTAAAGTCACTTGTTTTGCACAGTGTATTTGTATTACCAACCTTTATACTGCATATAATAGATGTAAAATATGACTATATATTGTGCCTGCCTACATTTTTTTCTATTCTATTAGATGCTCCTAAAAACACATCAGTGAGGATAAATCCAGCTGGTTTAGTTCTGGAGGGCCGTTCAGTGACTCTGATCTGCAGCAGTGATGCAAACCCAGCAGTGAACTACACCTGGTACAGAGACACTGAAAGACCTCTCAATCCAGTTCAGACCGGACCAAACCTGACCATCAACAACACCGGCCCGACACACAGTGGACGATACTACTGTACAGCTGAGAACAAACACGGCACACAGAACACATCAGTGCTGCTGGACGTCCAGTGTGAGTATTAAAGGGGACATCGGATGCAAAATTCACTTTTACATGGTGTTTATATATAAATGTGTCTTAGCAGTGTGTGGAAACAACCACCCTACAATGATAAAAATCAAAAAATTTTAAATCCCCAAAAACCTAAACAGTCTCAATTATCAAGCCGTTTTGATTTTCTGAGCAGTATGACGTCATATTGCTCAAGACCCGCCCACGACCGCTAACAGACTGTCCCGTATTAGTATATTTCTGCACTCAGCCAGTTCTATGCTGTCCGTCATTTTCTCTGCACTCGAGCAGCTGTAGAGACAACAATGTCTCATAAGGTGTCTTGTAGTTGAATGTAAAAGTGAACATAAGAGTCTTCATTTTCTCCCGACATCAGAGCCAATGAGGACGCGGCTTTACTATTATTTAAAAAAAAATAAGAAGGCATAATTCTAAATACCACGACATCCAGTGCGAGTACTTTTTAATCTGCTGGCCGTCCAGAGTCAGTACTTGTTACTCTTGTGGACATCCAGTGTGAGTAATTTGTAATCAGCTGAGAGTCCAGTGAAAGTTCATGGTGATCTGAAACTTGTAAAATAGAGTTTTAAACCTGCAGCCTTTCAACTCTTGAACTGTTAAATCACACATTCTACATTGCACATCCTTTTTCCTCAGATGCTCCAAAAAACACATCGTTGTCAGCGTTTACCTCCAGCTCAGTGATGGAGGGCGATCCAGTGACTCTGAGCTGCAGCACTGACGCAAACCCAGCAGAGCTCAACTACACCTGGTACACAGAGACGGGATCTCAATTTGAGCTCCTTCAGACTGGACATAATCACACCTACATTGTGACAAACCCCACATACGGTGCACGGTATGGCTGTAAAGCTCAGAACCAGCATGGCCAATGCAATGCAACAATTCAACTTGATGTTCAGTGTGAGTACAAAGACAAACCTCAAATTAATTTAATCTGATAAACTCTGGCGCGGCTCCAGAATCAAATCACTGAGGGTGCTTCTTAAATTAGTGAGGGTGCTCTAACTATATATATATATTTATTTTTAACTATATATATTTGCACCATAGCAACAGACGCCACTAATATATATAGTGGCGTCCGTTGCTATGGCGCAAAGAGCGCTCCGTTCATAATCACTAAAAAAGCTGTCACTCATCTTTGTTCATCGCGATCTCACAAAGATACGTTATTATCATTAAAGTTCTCTCCACTGCACAACGAATCTCTTATTTAGATTGCATCAACACTGTTATAATGAGATGATTCGTGCTGAACACTGTTACAGATTTGAGCGGTATGAGTGCATTCTAACTTAAACGCCTCTGGTTTAAGAAATCAACGATATGGCTGTGATTGGCTACATTGCTCAACGCTGCAAAAACACATTGAAACAGAAATTACCGCAAACCATTACACACTGGATAGTTTGCCAAATCTGCAATAAAATACCATTAATATAGCTTTAACTGAGGGTGCTTATGATTTCGTTGCTTATGATTTCGTAGCACCCCCGTAGAACCGGGCCTGGATAAACTTAATCTGATCCCTGATAACATAAATACTGTGAATATAGTGCAATAACTACAGTAACTGCAGCAAACACATAACAATGCTCTAGACAGCATTGAATGCAAAGTGCATTGTTTATGGTGAAAATAAAAGTAAATTGACATGGAAAAGTTGCAATTTTACCATAAAAGCATGCAAGAGAAGCATACTTTCTTTCACACAGTCAAAATATGAATTTCAGCACTGAAAAGACACTAAGGAGTTGCAAAAACCACAAAAGCATGTTTAAATGATTTAAACTTTACATATAGCTTAAGTTGAAGACAATTTTATCATATAAACTACACTACAGCATGCTATATGGTGTAATATCTTACATGGTGTGTGCATCACAGAGTATGGCGACAATGGTAAACAGGTTGATGGTGATTGACTATACAGTCAGCTGTGCAGAGGCTGCATGCTAGAAAAGCTGTGAAATGGGTGTAGACAGAAGGAGATTTAGTTCCCCTTTTGTAAATTTTGTTATAGAGTAACATGTTAAAGTTACACTACAGCATTTTGAAATGCAAGGTTTCGATAGAAAACTTTGTGAAACTGCACTTAAACCAGTGAAATTACAAGAAACTTCTAAAAACCCAATGCAGTGATCAAACACTGGGGAACAAGTCAATATGATTTTCTGTGGCAACCGACAACATTAGATGCTGCGCATTAAAGGGATATTTCACCCAAAAATGAAAATTACCCCATGATTTACTCACCCTCAAGCCATCCTAGGTGTATATGACTTTCTTCTTTCAGACGAATCCAATCAGAGTTATATTAAAAAATATCCTGGCTCTTCCAAGCTTTATAATGGCAGTGAATGGGTGTTATTTTTCAATAGTCCAAAAGAAGTCCAATAAAGTGCATCCATCCATAATAAAAAGTGCCTCACATGGCTTCGGGGAGTGAATAAAGGCCTCCTTTAGCAAAGCGATGTGTTTTTGTAAGAAACATATCCATATTTAAAACTTTATAAACAGTAATCTCTAGCTTCCGCTACTTAAAGGGAAAGTTCACCCAAAAATGAAAATTACCCTATGATTTACTCACCCTCAAGTCATTCTGGGTGTATATGACTTTATTCTTTCAGATGAAAACAAGTGGAGTTATATTAAAAAATGTCCTGGCTCTTCCAAGCTTTATAATGGCAGTGAATGGGTGTTTTTGGCTCCAGGGGTGAATATAGGCCTCCTGTAGCGAATCGATGCATTTTTGTAAGAAAAAATATCCATATTTAAAACTTTATAAACAGTAATCTCTAGCTTCCGCTAACTGTGGTACACGCATTCACAATAACACCGTTCCGGTGGATGACGTACGACGTAGCATAAGGTCCGGTGAGAATATGCTAGTCTCTCGAGAACCAACGTTTGTTTACAGGAGCAAAGGAAGCAAAGTTTCCTTACTTTAGCAAAGGAAAACCAGTCTTCT